TCCCTCCTCTGATGAGAGATGAAAGTAGAATATAACATCAGGACAGGGCAGACCTCTATCAGGACCTTTACACCAATCAAGTGATGCACCTATCAAGACAATGATTTGGGACTTATTATTTTGGACTTGGTCTATCCCATGACAATACCAACCACCAAGAGTGCATGCATAAATGTACATACAGGCAATACCTAAAGTGTACTTTAATGGAGCATAATAGAGTAAATGGCTCCAAATTTTTATTAAATTTTCTGATAAATATTGATGTCCTTATGCTATGTAGCAAGTTTGAGCAGATTCTGACTTTAATTTTTTGAGTTATGGTCATTTTAAGAAAGTGCTAAAATTCTAAAAAGTACCCAAGACTATATAGCCCATGGTTATGTCCAAAAAATCGCCCCAAAATCACCCCCCCCCCCCAATTTTTGTTACATTTTCTGACTTTTATTATATAAATATTAGCTGATTCCAACAAATGGCCATTTTAAGAAATCAGCCTATTTCAAAAATATGCATATTACCGTATATGGCATATATTTCGCGGGTATAAAATTTCGCGATTTGACTGCATTTTTCTATTCGCGAATAAAAATTTCGCGATTTAATGTAATTACCACACCTACTATAGAATCAGCATGCTATTTTGTGAATTTAATTTCGCGAATTTTTTTCCAAAACGCGAAAATTAATCCCTGCAAAATATATGCCGTATACAGTAGATGCTTTTTTTCCAAAAATTTGCTCTAAATTTGCTTTATTTTTATACACATCAGAAAATTTTGAAGGGGTAAGGAGTTAAATTTTGGCAAATTGCAAAATTTTGGTGATCAGCAAAATTTAACTTTGCCACGTGCCTCAAAATAATGGCTCAAAATGACACATTGTTATTTTGAAAATTGGCTATGAAAATACTGTTTACCTCTCTTTAATATTTCCTGCTGTTTGGTACTTTCAATGCATGTACATGTACATTACCTTTTTAGCAGCTGTAAAAGTGACACTTGAATGTGCATATCTGTCAATAACTAGTGTTGTACCTGACTTCAAATCTTGATGCATACCAGCTATAATGAGAGAGAGAGAGAGAAATCCAATTATCCAACAATTATTGTTCCAAATTAAAATAACATTAATTTTGATGCTAAAATTAATACTCTAACAAACAAATTAAAAATGGTTAAACTTGATTCTTTTGTTACTAAAATTAACATCCTAAACCATACGATCTAATTTTAGAAACAAATCCATTTTAACTTGTGCTAATTTTAGTAACAAAAATCTAAAATTAGAATCCTTACTCCAGCTCCCATCGATTGGCTGAGGACAATAAATGAATGACATGATCGTCCATGTTTAAATTATTCTTCAAGTAATTATCGATCTGACTCCCAGTAACTGGTGCACTCCTATCTAAAAACTTAAAGAAGGGGGACACAGCTGTAGTGTTTTGTTTTATATTGAAGTTGCCTTGCTCTATTTGTAGCTAATAGTTGATACTACATATACACAATCGATAAACTCATATATGATTATTAAATTCTCTCTTTTTTAGTTTCTGTTGTCAGTAGGGCAGAATGAGAACTGTGACATTACAGTAGCAGGTTACTGGTATGCAGGGTTGTTGTAATTCTAATTTTAATCATTAGGAATTAGCAATCATTAGCAATTATTAGCTAATTCTAATTGTAATTCTAATTAAAAGTATTATGCTATCTAATGGTAATTCTAATTGTAATCAATGAAACAACAAGTAATTTAATTAGATAATCATTGTATAGTTACTGTAAATGTACCAGGAGCCCTTGAAAAAAGTAACTTAAAGAGTAAACAGTGAAACATCAGGCATAGTCACAGTCTCCTCTCACTTTCTGCATTCA